GTTTTATTAATGCCGAAAATCGATATTTAATAAGAAAATTCTCTATCTCCCAGCAACAAACAATGTAATAGCGTCAAGGTCATATATTAAGTTAGCACAACCATTCCAGTAAACGTTAAGTAAAATGTCTGAAATTAGGTGGAACAATTGCCGCAAATTAGCTGTAAATACACCATGCAAACCAAAAATTTGCCGCTCTATTATTTGTTTACAAAATCGACAATTCTTTAAATTAACGTAAACGATAACGGTAAATTAGCGCGACTTTTTTTAAAATTCATTAAATGGAATCAATCATGACTTTTTAGTACAACAGGAATATACCGTAAACAAGCCGTGAAGTCGAAAAATTTGCCGCTCTTTTATTTCTCTATAAAACCTACAGGGTGATTCAGGCTTCCGAAAAAGCTCTATGTTAGGTTTTTGGTTTGTGAATTTCATATCATTTTTTTTATATAATATGGAGGCAATGGTAACGCATATTTTGAAAATATTTTTGTCAGCATACAGGGTAATTCAAACATATTTTCAAACTAAAATTGTATATTTTTAAATGGAATACTATATATTTTTTTAGCTCAGTGGATTTGCCACTAAATTTCTATTTCAAAATACCCCAATGTCATATACTATACCTAATGGTTTTTGAAATATAACCTTTAAGCTTTACTACTGCCCCTATATTATATAAAAAAATGAAATGAAATTCACAAACCAAAAACCTAATATAGAGCTTTTTCGGAAGCCTAAAAGACCCTGTAGATTTTATAAAGAAATAAAAGAGCGGCAAATTTTTCGATTTTACGGCTTGTTTACGGCATATTCCTGTTGTACTAAAAAGTCATTATTGATTCCATTTAATGAATTTTAAAAAAAGTCGCGCTAATTTACCGTTATCGTTTACCTTGTATCAATCACCTTGTATATATCAAACAAGATTGCAAATTTTGGTAGACCGAATTTTAAAGAAGAGAGACACTATTATACAATACTTCCTGTTAAAACTTTTTAAAATTCTTCGAATTTAGAATTTTCAGAGGGCTTTAAATAAGCAGTAAATTTAGTTTAAAAACGTTTATATTTCAAAGACAATTAGGTATAGTATATGACATTATGGTATTTTTGAAACAGAAATTTAGTGGCAAATCCACTGAGCTAAAAAAATATATAGTATTCCATTTAGAAATATAAAACTTTGGTTTGAAAATATGTTTGAATCACCCTGTATGCTGACAAAAATATTTTCAACATATGCGTTACCATTGCCTCCATATTATATAAAAAAATGAAATGAAATTCACAAACCAAAAACCTAACATAGAGCTTTATCGGATGCCTGAATCACCCTGTATATTTTATAGAGAAATAAAAGGGCGGCAAATTTTTCGATTTCACGGCTTGTTTACGGCATATTCCTGTTGTACTATAAAGTCATTATTGATCCCATTTAGTGAATTTTAAGAAAAATCGCACTAATTTAACATTATCGTTTACGTTAATTAAAAAAATTATCGATTTTGTAAACAAATAATAGAGTGGCAAATTTTTGGTTTGCATGGTGTATTTACGGCTAATTTACGGCAATTTTTCCACCTAACTTCAGACATTTTACTTAACGTTTACTGGAATGGTTGTGCTAACTTAACATATGACCTTGACACTATTACATTTTTTGCTGCAGGGGGATAGAGAAGGATCGAAGGATATTTTTTTTAATTGTATCTAAGAACGGCAAAAAACGGCAAATTCCTGCTATACTGTAAAATTCCTAACTATGTTCTTTCACTGATTTCCAATGGTGGTTGTGCAAACTTAATATTAACTTAGCACAACCAACGATTTAACATACTTAGCGAAGAGCGGAAAATTTTTCGTTTTCACGGCAAATTTACGGCTAATTTACGGCAATTATTCCACATAGTTACATACTTTTTTTTTAAAGTGGTTGTGCTAACTTAACACACGTAATTAATATATTTAAAATTTGACTGACAAGTGATTACTTCAAAATATTGCGAAAAAAACTGTATAAACTGAAAAAATGTAATCCAGTTATTTTATTTAACAAAAAACGGTATGTGTTAATACAAAACAAACAAGAACAAGACACCACATACGAAAAAAATATATAAAAAGAACTATTTCTTACTTTCAAGCTTCATGAAACTTTCCGGATTTATGATTATATTTATCAATATAACTTATGTACATATACAAATTTGTAATATCCGACAGGAATAAACAAAACAACATAAATAAAACAAACTATTTTATTAATAATAACACTTACCAAATTTTATACCTTAAAGGTTGATTAATTAACTTTAATCTTAATTTTTTTAAACCAGTACCTTTTGACATTATTTTTCTGCAGTACTAAAATCCATTATTTACCTATCGTGTGATATCGATATTTTATAGCTACTCCAGTTTTTAGTATGTGTTTAGGATGATCCTACGAGATTATACGAGATGCACTTATCTACGACGAGATGGTATACAAACTTTATCGATGGTAACTTCATTTGTGTATAAGACTTTCTGTCTGGGTAGCGAGTATTAACGATAAGCTGTGCTCTGGGTTTACAGTTAATTTTCACTAGATTTTTCCTCCACTTGACTTCAAAAGACACAAAACACACGTAATAATACGAATCAAAATGCATCATCTTCCAAAACGCAGGGCATAGATAAACGAAACAAGTTTAGATTGGAAAGTGCCCATAAGGACAATGTAAACACTATTTGGCGCTATTCTAGCAACGGTCGCGACCCAAAACTTTTGAAAATTTCGAAGCGGTTCGGCTTTTTCCGGAATTATATCGCCAAATATTGTTTATTCAAATTTATTATTATTTTCGTTTAATTTTATAAATAAAAGACAGTGTGTTGCATACAAGAAACTTTATTTTATATAAGGACGCATGTATGAAATACCTATGAAACATTGGAAACCGACGTTATGCCACGATCCACGATGGTTTTTGCAGTTCACAGTTCACAGCACAGCTTTTTAAGTTTTTAATGCCACTTTTTCACAATTATTACCGGTTGGAGTAAATAAAACTTGAATTAAACTCACAAGATAGCAATAATTACTTTGAAAATGGATGCTATAAACACTTTTCGGAATTTCTTTAATGAGAGCGGTTTAGATTTTGAAAGATTATTATGATTTTTGAAGATTCTGACTTTGACAAGAGAAAATTATTTCTGTTTTTGTTTGCCGTTGTTCTTAGCGACCGCTATAGCAGCGCCAGATTGCGTATAACGGTCGCGACCCAAAATAATTTCGCGACCTAAAATTTTTACGGGCTTTCCAATCTAAACTTGTTGCATTTATCTATGACGCAGGGTATTTGACAAAAGTTGACACAAAATTACTTTGAATAAGAAGACTAAGGAAGGAGCATATCAAAAATCTTAGGTACACCGCGATGGGCCTCAAATATGGCCGACTTAAATTCCGGTTTATCAGTGTCGTTATAATTTTATTTAAAAAATGTAAAACTATGATGTAGGGTAGACGTGGGGTAGACTCAATAATTTGTTGTTTTATTTTACTTTGTGAATAAATGTTGGTAGTTATTAAAATTGTTATAAAAATATATAATTCTAATAAAAAATAGATAAGTTATAATAAGTATTTATTAACACAAACATCCGATACGCTACTGAAGCAGGTAAGTCAAATTAACGTATCTAAATTCTTTGACATCTAATCTTTGACAAGTAATAAATAAAAGCTAAAATGCAAGAAAAATATATAATTTAGTTAATTTAAGTGAATTTCATAAATGATCGGTTTACTACACGTATCTATATTATATAGTCACTTACTAGCGAAAAGTTGTTCCATTATTTCACTCAATTTTTGCCGAGATCTACCGCACGCTACACAACCAATTATTTTAGAGTCTTTTTCAATAAATCGCGATAGTGTCACTGTTAATTTAAGTTCTGCCACAATTTCCATCTAGATTTACTACCTTTATACAAATATCAGTAGTAGAATAAATAATAAATAACATAAAATAAGCACCACAAAATTTCAAATCAAATTCAAATGTGTCAAATGAATCGTCAAACAGAACTGTCAAGGATCCCCACCCTAGAGAGCTTTTATGGTGGCTTTTCCGCCCACCATGCATGAATAGATGGATAGCATTATGCTCCTTCCTTAGTCTTCTTATTCAAAGCAAAATTATAACTTATAATTTGGCAAGACTTTGACAAGCGTCAAAAATGATAAAAATCTAAAGGCGAGTTCATACGCGTTGGCGCGGCGTCCGTTTGTCGTTGATCGTTCCGTCAAACCAATAAAATTGAAATGCGGTCTGTTATTTTTTAAATAAACCAATAAAACTGGTTAAAAACAATAAGACACGACGTATGACGGATTTATATTTAAACCCATCCATAGTCAATTTAAAAATTAGAAGAAACTTTTTTTAGTAAAATAAATAGATTGGTATGGGATGTCATCTGCTTTTCTTCTGTCGAAATCTTACCTGAGAAAAAAAACAGAGTATAGTCAACATGTTCAGTGTTTGTTAAAGATGACATGTATTGATTATTTCGATTCCAAATATCTCGAGACATAGCTGTTTTTACAAAGAGGCATTTTTTATCTAAAAAATTGCGAAAATGTATATTTTTTGACACAGTAATTTTATACAGGTCCTCCAGGTACGGACGAAAAGTTATTATTCTTCAAACAAGGTAAAAAATATGTACGTGGTGTCCGCTAGAGGTACAAGTCATTATGACATCGAAAACAAAATTCAATGAATCCAAATTCTCCTGTCAAAAACCTCCCAGAGATTAATTTTCATAACCTGTAAATTTAATTAAAAAATAACGTGCTCACAGTCTATACTTTAATACTCGTAATAAATCTTTAGATATTTATAATAAGAATTGAAACATAGTATTGACTTTGTTTAAATACATTTATTTTATATTTAATATATACAAGATATACAAGACTGAACAAAATAAAGAATGGCATGTCTTAGTTTATCGCTTCTTAATTCTTTGAAACACATAAGATTGAGGGTCGTAGGTATAAATTGGCCCAGCTATAGGTTCAACGTTCTCATACTTCAGTCTGGCATTAAAGGCCTTATTTCTAACATCATCTTTAGTCTCATACCTAACTTTTTGCAAAAGCCCACTAGGATGATAAATATAATAAACCCCAGTATCTGGCTTTTCTCTCAATCGACCGCTGGCGCTGGTAGCATTCACCGATTCCGAGTTTGGTTCTGTTGTGGCAGGTAGTTCAGTAGTAGTGGCTGCCCCTGTAGTAGTCAGCGAAGGATCTTGACTTGGAGGTCCATAAGATGCACTTGGTGGTGGTGGGGGTCCATAACTAGGCGCTGGAGATGGTGGTCCATAAACTGTCTGAGGAACAGGAGGTTGGGCTGGAGCAGCAGATTGTGGGGGTGGAGCCTGTAGCCTTTGGAACCTTGATATTCTGGAGTTCGATTGCCATCTCTGCGGTTCTGCTAAGCTTACATTTAAGTAAGCTACAAGAACTAATGTTATAGTTTTTCTAAGCATTTTCTTTTGCTTTATTTGAATAAATGCTTCAACTGTAATGTACTGATAGGAGTACTTTTTGTAGTATTTATACTCACTGGATTATTAAATAATAATAAGTGGTGGAAATAATTAAAAATATGTTAAACTTGACCTGAAATTAATTTTGGAATAGACCGAAAAAGTTAGAAACCTATTTGGTTGCTTCTATAAACAGAGCCCCTCACGAATTTTAATATGAGACTTAAAATATTAATGAGTTTTTGAAGGTCAACGAATATTAATATAAGTCACGTTACGTAATATCTACATAATTTAATAAAAATGAATCATTACATTTATACTTGTCTGTGAATATATACTCACCGGCACGAAAAAGGGGCACCTTAAAATTTTGATGTATTTTAAGTTTTATATAACAATGTTCTAGTGGACCGACTTTGATAATTTTTTAGGCAATTTGTAGCTAGATTAAAGCAGTAGCTAAATTATTGGAGTACGTTAACAAAGCAAGGAATATAACATCAATCATTTTATCATCTAGGTGTATCTTTTTTCGATATTTTGTTTTTTGATTCATTTCTGTAGCATTCTTTTTATTAGAGATATTCTCTTTTGAAGAAGACACTAACATTTTTTCGTATTTTTCACATTAAAACTATGCCTCTGTTCTTGCCCCTAGTCAACAGACCTATAAAATAGTGTTTATGATTTATATAATGTCACTGTCGAGGTCACTGTCTTTGAAAAAGCATACTATTATTGTCTTTTGGGCAAACAATTACTCCAGCAGATATAGTTTTATGTGCAAAACTTGATCTCTACCATGATCAATCAAAGCAGCAATAACCGATACTTCAGAATTTAAAATTATCTCAACTCGAGTAAACGCAAAACGTCAATAAACAATAATAATATGACTTTCCAATGACAGTGACAAAACAAAAACATTAAACACTATGAGCGTGAAGTAGGTAGATAAAGATCTTGCTCCGCGTTCCTGAGAGGATAAGTGTGAGATGGCCTTTCTTCTTCTTGAGAAGCTGATACATGCTTACGTATTAGCTGTGGTATTAGGCAAACAGATTCGAATATAAAAAGGAAGGAAGAGTTAATATTTTTAATTTTTAAAAAAAGTCCTGGCAATGAGTTCTGCTGTTTAGTCCCAGTGAATATCGAACAGCTCTCTTCTGGAGCTTCAAAATGCGGTCAAATTGAGTCGCACAACACGTACCCCACAATGGAAGGGCATATTTGAGGTACGACTCAAAAAGTGCATAATAAACAGTTCTAGCCACTGACACAACTTTAAAATACACCAAAATTTTAAGGTGCCCGTTTTTCGTGTCGGTGAGCGTATTTCTGCATGCGGTTCGCTACTAAACAAATTTGAAATTAACTGCATAAAATATGGCATGGAAACCTGAATAAATGATATTTTCTCTTTACAAATAGAATTAAAACGTGCTGAAAACTTTTGTACAACTGAGAGATTTATTGCATTATTGTGAATTAAAATCGGGAAATATCGGAAAAAGGTAAAGTAGGGATATGCCATCGATGTTTAATAAATATCAGGTAACAGATTTATGAAGTTTACCTATTTAATAACACTGATAAATATCTATACTGTTTAGATTTTATTGTATTTATCCAAGTATCTCTCTAACTATTATAGATACAAAAATACGATCACCCTGATCCTCCTGCTTTTGTATGAAATTATATACCGGGTGTGTTTCAAAAGTGGCTCACCCCCTATAACTTTTTTATTTTTTCAGATAAAAATATGAGATTTGGTATGTTAGTATATGACATAAACTAGGATTAGGTATTCAATCCTTTTCGGTCACTTCCTGTTTCACCGGAAATGACTACAACTTTTTTTACTTTATTCGATAGAAAATGATACTCTGAATAGAACCACATATCATATGTCAACTTTTGACATTTTCGCTTAAAACAAAATTGTGTTTTAAATTTCAATCTAGGATGCCATGGTTATGTTAAAAACACTATTTTTTTATCAAGGGGCCTTGGAAAAATACATTTGATCGTCTAATGTTTTTATGTCTTGTCCTGGCGGGTTTAAAGATGCCCAAATCGTATTTTAATCATATCCCAATTTTTTTCAAATCGAACGAGGGTGGCTTATTAGCCATATTTGGAAAAAGCATCTTTTACGTATAATTTGATACCACACACTTGGTATTTCCAGTCAAATTGTCGTTATGAATCGCATGTTGCAATTTCAAATAAACCATATTCGAAAATATCAAAATTTGACATATGATATGTCATTTTATTCAGAGTGTAATTTTCAATCGAATAATGTAACAAAATACCAAGGGTGCCATTTTAAAATCAAAAGTTGTAAGTTAGTAATTTCCGGTAAAACAGGAAGTGACCAAAAACAATTGAATACGTCAATCAATCCTAATTATGTCATATACTAACATACCAAATCTAGATTTTTTATCAAGAAAAATAAAAAAGTTATAGGGGTGAGCCACTTTTACTATAGTACCAGTTCTTTTTGATGTTGAGGGAACACTGATCGCGCCTAAGAACGCTGTAAAACACCTCGGAGTCTGGTTAGATAGTAAAACAACATTCTGTGAACATGTTACCCAAGCCATCACTAAAGCGGAAAAAAAATCTCTAGAAGCATTATCAAAACTAATGCCGAACATAGAGAGCCCTAGGGCATCGATGCGTAGAATTCTTGTAAGCATAATACATTCACAATTATTGTTATGGGTCCGGTATGGTGCAAGGCAATGGACAAAATAATAACAAGCGCTATCAGCTCTTCTCTCCTTTAAAATTAGGAATAATGGAGTTAGCAGTTTATCACATTTCACCGCCGATATAGTGGAGTGGGATACCACCTGACACAAATGCTGTGCGGATACGGGTGCTTCCGAAAATGCCTCTATAAGATGCGGCGGGTAAGCTCTGAGTCACGTGTAGTTTGTGGTGAAATAGACGATGTTGAGCATGTATTCTGTTGTCCCAGATGGAAGGACGAGAGAGATAATTTTAAGATGGACAATGGACTGGATTTCATTGAAACGAACATGATGAGAAGCCTTGAGTGAATTATTATGGGAAACAGCAAACAGATGTATAAGGAATTTACTAGGTAGAAAAGAAGAGGAACAACGCCACATGGCCGAAGTAATGCGTAAGCCGTTCCGGCGTGGTGTGCTTACTTGAACTACTACGAGGAGGGTTTTTTAGCCGATAGGAATCCGGCACCACCGAATTTTGGGTATCTTATGGAAATTTTTTTCCCTTCTTATCGAAAAAAAAATTGGTGGCAGCACCGTCGGAAAATGCACCAAATCTGAAATAATATACAACTATATTTTTTTATTTGATATAAATCATGAGATGAAAAAATATACCTAATACAATAGACAATTTTGTTAAGGCCAAAGCTTTCACGGACTATAACTTCAATGGCTATGAATTATTTCGGCAAAAATATCACATTCTTCTTCTTAGGTTGACGTCTCCCTTCAGAGGTTGGCGATCATTTGGCTATGATAGTGCGTGAAACCGCATCTCTGAAAATTTCAATCGATGTTCTTCCGAACCAAAGACGCAGATCCTTAAGCCATGAGTTTTGCCTTCTTTCCACTGATCTCCTGCCCTCAATTTTGCCTTCGATTACCAGTCTGAGCACCTCGTATCGATCAACCCTTATGATGTTACTGACGTACTGTACCGTCCTTTCCTTCACTGTTAATAGGAGCTCTTTATCTTGGCTCATCCGCTAAATATCATATTATATGGATAGAAATAAATGTAAAGAAAATACATTACAGATATAGAGTATTATAAAAAATGTCTATACCTATATGGCGGATTCATTTCTCCAAAAAAATCCTTTATGGGTATTTCGCCACTGTACTGCAAGAAAATCTACGAAATAAAATAGTTATTTTTTGTAAACGCTTCTGCGTTAAACCTAAACGGACATTGCTTCTCAGAAGTTATGTTTACAGTTATACAAATTTGCCTAACAAAGAACAACATGCTTAACGTTTCGGATAGTTTATCTCTTTCCGTAGTCGGAAGCAAAAAAAAATACAAAAAATAAAGAAAAAATTATTTAAAATTACTTTTTTAAAACAGATACGTCTACAAGGAACCGTTGACGTTCTGTTAAAATGACATTATATCAAGTGAAACTTCAAAATTAACAATTACTACCTGATGACAATTATTTAATAAGGTAAAACCAAAAAGTCCCAAACTTTCTGTATGATTATTTTTAAATTTTACATGTGTTATGTTTATTTATGTTATGTTCTTTAAAATCAAAGGAGCAATTGCCATACATTACTAACACCTACAGATGCATGAGCAATACATTTATTTTTATAGATTGAATTAAAAAAGCTCTTTTATTATTCTTTTAGAGGCTATCGCTTCTTCCATTATAATTTTGACGTTATTAAAATTTATTCTGTGCCCTGTGTCCCATGAATGCTGACAAATCTTAGGTTTGTAAAAATCTCCCTTTTTAAATAATCTTTATGTTCTTCAATTCTAACATTTAAGGGTCTAAATGTTTCATCAATGTAAAATTTATCGCATTCACATGGTATTTGGTATATTACATTTTTTGTTTGTTGTTCTGAATTCATTGGTTTAGTATGCGATAAAATGGATCTAAGTGTATTTTGTGTTTTGAAAGATGTTCGTATGTTATATTGTTTTCCTATCCTTCTTATTTTTTCCGAAACGCCTCGTATGTATGGAATTGTTGTATAGTTGTATATATTGTGTATTGTTATCATTATGTCTATGATTTGGGGTTTGTATTTCGTTTAATGTTTTGTGAATAAAATATGTTAGATAGTCGTTTTTTATTAATGTATTTTTTATGTGGTTTATATCTATACATATATTATTTTTGCCCTATCATAATATAATATTTAAGAATAGAGAATAGCGTGTTAATAGTTTTCGAAATTCCATAATGGTCGGGAACAATAGGTGAGTTGAGGAACTAATTGCCATGCCGATG